TTTCCTCCCAAATGGTGTAATTGAATGCACTCCACGACAGTTTAAGAATGACAGTAATTAAAGATTTACCCTTCCATTTCGCCGTCACCCAAACCATAAGGTTGGACCAAGTTAAAGGAGGTTTTCTGATGCCTGACAGTAGAAGAATGGATTTCAAGATTGAAGAAGAAACTTTGCATTCAGCAAAAAGATGGTTTCTAGTTTCGCCGAACCTGAGACTGTGCTTTGGGATGCAAAGTTATCAGCCATCGATCATACAAGTTATCAAGTTATCTATAATGCATGATATATAGATTAATCAAATATATAATATTTAATTGTCACACTTTTATCAGCCATCGATCATACAAGTTAACATAAATTGATTAGTGTTATCACAGCAAAAGTCATACAGGTGCGACTTTATGTTTTTCTATTTATTAAAATCAGGTTTAAAAATAGATTCATAAATTTGTGCACATTTTCTTGAAAGGATAAATTAGTCGAGAATCATTCGAAATCAAAGACATCCAACAAAAAGTTGGTTAAAAGAGAGGCTTAGGTTGATTGTCGCCTGTTGATCTTCTTTATTTTTTTTATATTTTAGGTTTTAATAAATTTATTTTTATGTCACGTATTTTTATGTTTTTATACCATGTTTTTCTTTATCTTTTGTATGGTTTTTTTTTATTGGTCATTTGGTCGTGGTTTAATTTTCTTAATGTTGAATTTGACATCGCATTGACTAATCAAAATGAAACTTATTTAGTATGTTATTGATCTTCTCTACTTTAGACCATCGTATTAGATTTGAATTCACAATTTACGTTTGGAGATAATTGTCTCACGACACTCGACTCTAATTTACGATTGTCGATAGTCTTTCAATAATTTTATCTACAGTTGTGGTTCGCTTGTCGATTTTCAATTAATATTTATATTAATTGGAGTTAGTTCAAGTGATAAGTAGTTTAATATTGCTTAAACAATTTTCGAATTCGAGTTTTTGTATATATAGAAAATCCTCATTAGAAGATTCATTCACCAAAATTAAGTATGTGATTTGGATCAATTTAGATTAATCAAGATAAGTAGTTTAATATTGCTTAAACAATTTTAGAATTCGAGTTTTTATATATGTAGAAAATCCTCGTTAGAAGACTCATTCACCAAAGTTAAGTATGTGATTCGGATCAATTTAGATTAATCAAGACGAAATTTAAGAAATCAATAGAAAAAATAAAACTCTTATAATAGGAGGATGACAATAGCAGAATAATATGGCCGATTTTCTTGGCAAACGACAGGACAAGGAAAGAGATAAATCGCAGAGCGTTCACGAGATGTTTCAGACAACTATTATTGCTAATGTGCTGGTAGTGACTCATATTTGTCCTATTTTCTATTTCGAGGCATGAGGGACGTTGATGTTCTGCTCTAAGTGATGGGCGTGAGCTGATTAGATGTCGATTTTGAGCGTCACGAAGAAACTCATGTTTTCCCACACGTAACTTATCATAAGATTCATAACCCAAATTTTGAGAAGTAAATTTTATTTTATGTTTTTGAGGATCAAAAACAAAGTTTATGGAAAATTTTGAGTTCTTTCCGTAAAAGTTGAGGAGTTCAATGACCTTTTGAGCATTTAACTTATCCTTTAACCCTAAACCCAAGGTATTTAACTAAGGGTGTACAAAAATACCCGACCCGCCGACCCGAACTTAAAAAAGGGTAATTTTCTATATAAAAAAAAATTTACTCGACCGGGTCGGGTACCCAGCCCGACATTTTCGGGTCGGGCCCGGATCACAAAATTGAGTTTTTCCGGGTACCCGGTTAGATTTATTTATTTATATATAAAATATAATGGATTGTTTATATTATGTATTATTAGATTTTGCATTTCGAACTTTTAAATTTTATGTTCGGATGTTGGAGTATGTAATTCAAAATTTCGAATATTTAAATTTGTGTATATTTTTTTTAAAATTAATAATTTGAAAATGAAAAAAAACGGGTACCCATTATCGGGTACCCGCAACATCCGGGTCAAAAATCACCGAACCGTATGTTACAGGTATCCGGTAATCAGGTACTCAAAAATCCGAGTACCCGGATTTGCCCCCTATATTTAACCCATCTTGTTTGTATTCCTTATATTAAACATTGCTCCAACCACCTTTCTTAAATTAGATATCCACGATCACTTGTGGTCCAATTCAATAATTGGACGTTCTTTCGGCCTTGTGGTCCAATTTAGATATATTTATAGTCCAAAACTACTTTTTCTCGCTTGTGGTCCAATTCATTTCTCTTGTCGGTAATAGAAATTTTATTGGGAAGCGAACCAAAATTATATGCCTCTATAAAATGGTCCACTTCATTTTTTGCACGTTCCGTTGTTTTCTCAGCCGTGGCCCTATTGATAAAACCTTGATCGTATTGTAAATTTTTACCAATTATGGAAATTTATTTATTTTTCGTGATCAGATTTTACACATGTTGTCCTTCAGATAATTATATAAATAAAAGAAGTAAAATCATAATAAAATATGATTTAATTTTCAGTGTGATATTATATTGTATTATTTTATTCTGATTATAATTAGCGTATATATGTACTTTTTAAAAATGTATTTACATAAATGTAATTTTATTATTATTTCATATTCTATACTGTTTTGATATACTAACATACTTATTCTTTTAAATAAAAGAGTCATATTTACTCAAATTTGATATACTTATATTTTCGATCAATTGGGGTATTTCTTGTAACATTCACAATTCATATCTATCCATCTATGGACCAATATAATTATGATTTTTTTTTAGAAAATAATTTCAGTGAGCGAAAATGCCTTATAATATACGATTTTAATCAATTTTTTTTGGATTTGAGAAAATAACCAACAACTTCGCAACGCGAACTCCAAATTCGCAACACAGTTTCCAAATTCGCAACGCGAATTTCACAAATTCGCAACTCAGTTTCGAAAATCGCAACGCGAATTTCTTTTTCGCAACGCGATTTTCCAATTCGCAACGCTAATTACCGATATAGGTAAACACAACCATCGCAACGCGATTTTCCAAATTCGCAATACGAATTTCGATTTTGCAATACGAATTTCATTTTTGCAATGCGAATTTCGCAACTTAATTACCGATATAGGTAAAGACGGTAGAAAAAATCCGATCAAAAATTCGAATTCGCCAATTTGAAAACTGTGTTGCGAAATTGGCAAATTCGTGTTGTGAAATGTAAAATCTTGCCTCTTAAAGAAAAAATCATTTCGACAGTTCGTTTGTTTGGTTAAAGTTAAATGAACAAACGAACGAACATGAACATACCCTCGTTTGTGTTTGTTCAATTCATTTACAGCGTAGGTTTAGCTGAGTGATTTATACGTGGACTTAGCAACTAGGATGTCCCAAATTCGCAACTCAGTTTTCAAATTGGCGAATTCGAATTTTGACCGGATTTTTTCTACCGTGTTTACCTATATCGGTAATTAAGTTGCGAAATTGACGAATTCGCGTTGCGATAGTTGTGTTTATCTATATCGGTAATTAGCGTTGCTAATTTGAAAATCGCGTTGCGATAGTTATGTTTACCTATATCGGTAATTAGCGTTGCGAATTTGAAAATCGCGTTGCGAATTTGGAAAATCGTGTTACGATTTCCGAAACTGAGTTGCGAATTTGGAAACTGTGTTGCGAAATTGGTGTTCGCGTTGCGAATTTGTTGGTTATTTTCGCAAATCCAAAAAAAATTGGTTAAAATCGTATATTATAAGGTATTTTCGATCACTGAAGTTATTTATTTATTTTTTAATATAATTATTGATATTTGATTCACTGGTTGATTAATTCAGAGCTTTTATTAAATAAAATTATTATGAGATATTCTTTAATCCAATTTGTTCTATTTATAATGTCAAAATTTAACTCTTGGATTTTATTTAAAGACCTAACATCTTATCTTGATAGATTTGTTATGTGTTTGACTTGTAATTTTATAAGCTTAAAAGTTAGAAAGTAAAAGTGTTTTCAAAATTGGCAAGAATTCAAGTTCAATTTACTACAAGTAAAGAATTCAACGGGCTTTAACGTGATATTTGCGGTGAACTGCGGGGTTCTACGGCAAGGGGAGGGCTGGGTATTGGTCGCGACTGAACGACGAACACGGTGGAACCGACTGTTCACGACACCACTGACCGGACGATAGTCGATCAAGGCTTCAACGGGTGACGAGGATTTAAAGTTTGATCGGTTTTGGGAAATGCTCGATTCTAATGGGGGAATTGATTTGGGAAATTAAAATCCATGCTGAGTAACTTTAAGAGAAAATTTTAATAAAATATATCTAAACAGAGCCCTAACCTAAACGGTAGGGCATGAGTAACTACTCCAATAAGACATAAGTTTTAAACCCTACCAAACCCATGTCTTTTCCTTTTATTTTTAAAAGCTTAAGGTAGGTTGGTTAAAATCAAGTTTAGGTCCTTGAATTGATTTTAAGTTTGCAATTGGCCCCAAATTTTCCATAATTTAGCAATTACGTCCCTTAGTTAATATTTAACTAAATATTAAACATAAAACTAAAAGTTTTGGGGTGTGACATTTGATCTTGACATTTCAGATCAAATGTGAAACTACGATCGCCTGAGAAATAAACCGGTTTCCCAAAAATATTAATGTGTAATGGGTAATTATGATTTTTCATGTAAATATATGAAATTATATTTGTTGTTTGCTTCTATCATTTTAATATTGTAATAAAAATTTATTTAATTTTGTGGTCCTAAGGATAAAGACTTGAATATTACATAGAATCTCGTAAAATATTGGAAGGTAGTTGAACAATAATAGATTGTTTAGAGACATTTATTAGAAAATTTAAAGAAAGCATAAAATAAATTATCATTGGTTGTTTTGCGTATAAATAGCTGAGCTCGTGAGCCTTTGAGTAACCACATAGCATAAGAGCAAAATACTTACTTAAATTGCTAGCGAAAATGGTATTGCCAAGGTTTATCGTGCTCAAATCCCCGGCTGCCAAAGCATACCTTAGCTTCAAAAAAGAGGATGATCTTTACAGCGGGTACGCTGAGTTTTCAGAACCTCTGGTTGTTAGCCCGGATGCAAAATTCGAAGTGGAATCGGCTAAAGGTGGACTTGTGCACATAAGGAGCTGTGCTACCAACAATTACTTGGAGCGAACGCAAGACGATTCCATCTCCGGGAAGCCGGACGAGCAGTACTGGATCACCGTAACCGCGGAGAAGAAGGAAGAAGACCAATCCAAGGAGTGGTGCACGTTGTTCAAGCCGATGGAGGAAGACGCCGTTAAGAAAACGTATCGATTTGTTCATGTTCAATCCGGATGCTACTTATGCCTACGCTTGAAGCCTTCATCGGATGTTAGTGCAGGCGTGTTGGCCAACAGCACTGAAGTTGACGCCGATGGCAATGATATCTTCAGAGTTATTGATTGGGACTGGTTGGTGATCCTTCCTAAGTTCGTGGCATTTAAAGCAAACAATGATCAGTACCTGCGCCTTATTGAGTTCGAAGGTCACCCGTATTTACAGTTTTCGGGTGAGGATATTGGTGATGTATCTGCAGCAATGGAGATTTCCTATACTCCGAACGGAACCATCCGCATCAAGCCGATTAATTCGAAAAAATATTGGAGGCGTAGCCCGAACTGGATTTGGGTCGATTCCAATGACACGGTCGGTAACGATAAGGACACTCTGTTTCGTCCCTTCAAAGTTGATAGCAAGACAATTGCTCTTCTCAACTTGGGAAACAATATGTTCTGCAGGCGCCTCACAATCGAGGGAAAGACAAACTGTCTTAATGCAGCCATCCCTTCTGTTACCAAAGAGACCTACCTCAAGGTGGAAGAGCCTGTGTTGTCGAGGAAGATCGAAAATATCACGTACCTCACAGAAAATTCTCGGATTTATGACGAAAAAGCCGAAGTCGTGGCCAAGAATACCGCTAGTAACCATACAAAAGAATCCAACACGATGGACGTGAAGCTTCAGTATACAGACATCAAGACTAGTACTTGGGAAGGTCATGTTTCCCTAAGACTTGAAGCAAAAGCCTCCTTCGAATTCGGAATTCCGATCATCGCGAACGGGAACATTGATATAACAGCTAGTGCTGAATCGGGATTCGTATGGGGAGAGACAACAACCACCACCACTGTCTTGGAAGTGATACACAAAGTTACTGTGCCTCCAATGACGAAGGTGACGGTGAATATGGTGATGACCAAAGGCAAGTGCGATGTGCCCTTCACGTTCACTCAAAAGGACACTCTTTATAATGGGGAAGTTGTGACAACAGAAGTCAAAGGTAACACTTACAAAGGTTCTAATTACTACAACACAGACTTCAACGTCAAACAAGAACCAGTTACCTCTTGAACCGAGGAACAAGAGAGGAACTTCAAGGCTCGTGTTGGCTTGCGTACTTGTTAAATTAAACAAAATAAATTCATGTTTCCTCAGTAGAAGCATGTGCTAATAAGCTTGTAGGTTTGTCATTTGTGTGTCTTGCGTACTTATTAAATTAAACTAAATAAATTCGTGTTTCCTTCATATGGAAGCACGGTTTGTTATCTTATTATTATTTTTTTAGGGAAAAAAAACTTTATAATTTTCGCTGAAGAACGATAAGAAAATCTAAGTTGATAGGCTTACCCTACGCACGTAACGCGATCTTAGTATCTTTTAAAATCACTAGATAAAGCATGAGAGATACCGCTCAACACAACAAAAACATCGGATTATAAAAAAAACATGGTTGTCTTGCAAAGGAATCTTGAAATTTGCATTAAGCCCAAAAAAAAAAACATTCCGATGTATAGCAAGAAAATTTGGTGAATTTATCTCTATCGATGACAATGCCTTGATCTCGGGTTCATTCGAAAATGCTTTTGTAACCCCAAATCCAAACCGATCCAAAATTCAAAGGATTTGAATATTACACGGAACCATAGAAGTGACTATCCCTACCTTTCTTTATGTTTTTGAAAGCATTTCAAAACATAAGTGCTCATCCATAAATAAAAGAAACACAAACATTTAAGTTTACAATTGGAGAGCTCCCAAAATAGCATCTAAAAAATAACATATGAGTTTAACAAAACAGTTACGACTCAATTACACATAAGGTCTATGAATTACAAGCTCTCTAAAAAACAACTGAGACATACCGTGAAGTGATGCTTCGAATAATATAATTGCAATCAATGCAATCATAAACTATTGTATCAAGTAATAAAGTGGATGCAAATTAATGCATCGAGTATCGTATTCACATAGACTAGTATTACTCAAAGAATTACTATAACAATAAGTAAAAGAATCATAGTTGTGATGTTATGAACAAAGCAATAAAAATATAATAACTAAAATAAGGGTCTGCTTGTTTGATGTAAAATATTTTACGGAAAACGTTATGGTCCAAATCATTTTGTGTAAAATGACTTACGAAATAAAATCTCGTACGTCATTTTTCATTCTTCTTCTTCAAAGCATTTTTCACTCAAAGAAAAAATTATCGTCCAAACCACCACCGCATCACAACAACGCCTCTTCCTCTTTGAGAGCAACAACTCAATCAACTTTGAATATATCTCTTCTATATTTTTCTTTCCTTTGGTTTCGATATACTTTTTTTAAATATTTTTTGGTTGAAAAAATAGCGACGGTGCTCTCTGTTCACAATCAGAAAATATTGACATTTTTAAACAATGGAATATTAAATCCTTCGATCACCAAATCTAGTTTCTTCGTGCTTTTCTACTCCCTCTTCAAGTAATTTCATTATTTCTCCTTCAAGTTCATTCTTCACCTTTTTCTCTGTAATCTTCCTTATTTGTTTTCTTTTTTTTTCTTTTTGCCTTTTTCTCCCTCAAATTCATTATTTTATTTACTATTATTGAAGTATTTTTTTTTCATTGTTAGAGAACCATATAACATTTAGGATTAGGGATTTTATTATACGTTTTCTTAAAATCATCGAACTCTTATCATAATCTTATCTATTTCTCCATTCATTTCCTTTTTCTATGTAGTTGTGGAACATACTTTGCATAAGCTTTAATATGTAACCCCACAGACCGATAAGGGTATCCCGATCCGATCTGGGAAGTCACATTAGGGCCACCGGAGCGACCCACTGTAAAAATAGCGGAAAATTTAAAACTTTTATCAGAACATGTAAACTTATAAAATCAGTTTTCACTATTTAAAAATAAAACAGATTTCCAAACACGTATATAAATCAAAATACAATTACATGCCCCCTAATCACATGTACCATACTCTGCAACAACGCCGGACGAACTCCCTTACTGAAGTCGATAGATGCACTGGTACAATTCTTTTAACCTAAAAAGGTGAGTAATAGAGTGAGCTTCGAAAAGCTCAGTAATACAAAACTACCAGATGATGCTGAAAAAGGTGCAGATACATATAAACATATTTTCCTTATTGGTTCAGATATTTACAGATCTTTATTTTGAGCTGAGGTCCATTGATATCGCATGTAAAACAAATAGTATTCATTTCAGATGGAAATATTTCGGATGTCTAGGTTCAGGAGATCAGAATAGGTTTTCTAGTGTGTTCCCAAAAACCATGTAATTTTTCAGATCTTTTTTATAAAACATATATATATACCCCCATCCGTTCACATCATAAATGTGTAGATTCCCCAGAACCATACACTCAACCGCACATGCCATTTAGACCCTGAGCACAAAGCCGAGGAGCCTGCAGATAATCTTCCTCCAACAATAAACCCCCCAGATAAAACATTTCTCCGTCGGTAAATGGAGATATCAGAAATCAAAACAGAATTCAGATCAGATATCAGAACAGAATCCAGATCAGAAATCAGAACAGAATTCAGGTAATGTATCAGAACAGAATTAAAGTCAGAAATCAGATAAAATATTTATATGATTAGGGAACACACCGGAGTTTACAGATATTATTCAAAGGTATTGGATAATCTTAACAGGTAGAGAAACATGAATCTTCAGTATACCGATAGGATATTGGAATTTAGAATCACTATTGGAAGAGTTCATTAACTGACAGAATCATCAGTTATTCAGAATGTGAATTATGAGGATCATATCTTATTCGGACAATTTTCAGAAGATGTAAGTAATCAGAAGGGTATTCAGAATCCTTTGCATCCATGTCAATTGATTGGATAATCGAACAACTTGAGAACGAAGATTCAGAACCTTAATAATCTATGTCGACTGGTTAATTCATTTTCCTTCCAGGGTATTTACTCTTTAATACCACAAATTCTTGTTCATATATCATTTTCGAAATTAACGTTGAATAAATCTTCCAATGTCTTTATTTCATGTTCACGCTTTCACCATATCATGAAATACTGACGTACTTGATTTTGTAATTCATAATCCATAAGAACATTACATCATATATGTTCATTAACATTTCCAGATTTATCCAACTCACTTATTCAATCCTCAGTCCTTATGGTTACTTAATTTATTTAGCATTCAAGTCCATTCCAGATACTTCGGGATTTTCCAGAGTAATTCAAGCGTTCCTGATTTTCAGACACATGATGCACTTCTGTTCCATTCAATTTGGTCTTTGTGGTTGATTTGTCGAGCAAACGTCCAATTCTTAGTACTGAATGTGATCCAGAGTTGAACTAAGTTGAATACTTCCAAAATTTATCATCGAGTCAAACTTAAGAAGACGAACACGCATTCCAGTAATATCTATGCCATTCAGGTATTGATATAGCTTTAGGGTTGATCTACTCACTTAAATTGTGTTCGATTACTTTTAAAGGTAGGCCAATACCTATGCTTATTTGGATTCCTTAATTAATCCAATGCATTTACTTGGTATAGGTCATGAGGGTATTTTGGTAATTTTGGTGTTCAGTTTTATTCCATTCATTTCAGAGCTCGAGGATATCCAATCATTCCTGAGCTTGGTGATATTCTTGGGTCATTTCCATTACAGGGGTATTTTGGTCATTTTACAGATCTACGGTATTTCAATCTTTTCCTGCCATCCGATCTTATTATTTAATTCAATCTTATCATTTACTTCAGTCCTTTCGAATAATTCTAACAGCAGAATACCCCCGATAAATTACTCTTCAAGTATTTACTCATTATTTGAATATTTTTCGGGTCAAGTGTCTTCTCAGATTTTACAAACGGAATATCATAAATTTTTCTGTACAAAGACAGGATCTTAACAATTAAATTCGTACTTAATCGAGTTAAGTACAAATCCTCAAAGTACTTTCTCATTCAGGGTCAATTCAGACTATTTTATCTCTCAAGGGCATTTTCGTAATTTCTTAACCTACCGGAGTATTATCATAATTTCCCATCCAAGTACCTTTAACATTTAACCTTTGATGAAATAAACTATAAGTTACAAACCCATGTTGATTTCTTTATCACTAAGCACAGAACTTGTAATTTAATTCTAACAATCCCTCAATTTCTTATAAAAATCATCTGAACCATAATCAATTACTGAACCCTTTTACTGTATTCAGATCAAGTGTAGAAACTAATTAACTACACAAATGAGACCAACATTATCTTAATCATGCATTTACCAATATTCACATGTTTCATAAAGCATAAAGAGGTAGTAAAGTATTACCTCGATTTTCGTGCAATACTGATCGACCATAAAAATTCCATTCGAATGCCTTTGATTTTCAATTCAACTTCCAATAATTCCTCAGATACATATCAACATAAATTAGATCAGAAACAGAGCTTAATTACGATAAACGGATCGAATCGGGTGATAAATCAGTGAAAGACGGCTTACCGGGTTCGAATTTGGCGAAACGGACTTCGGATTCAGGACGTCGAGGTCTTCGGGTTCGAATTTCAAAAAACGGACAGCGGAATCGGATTTGGAACGTCGAAAAATGTCAGGATAGGTATACTCGGTCGAAGTCAAAGGTCGTTTAATGCCCGGTCAAAGTTTTGGTTAACAGTGGTCAACGCCGGTCAACGGTCAACGGGTCAACGGGTCGAGTCAATGGGTCGGGTCGGGTCAACTGGTCAGGTAAACGGGTCGGGTCGGGTTATGACCGGTCAAACCGGTCAAATGGGTTACAAAACCGGTCAAACTGGTCATTTTTCCTTCCCCCACGCACAGTGGCGGCGCGTGAACAGTGATAAAATCCCGGAAAAATTTCTAAAAATTATTTTGAGCGATTTCGAGATACTTACAAAGCTCGGTTCATAATTTTGAACGGCGGAGAGCTCGATTTCAACAAATCGAAAACTTTGACCGCTTCACCTTCTCACGCGCCGCCGTCGACGGAGACCAAGGATGACACCGGCAGACTCGGAACGATGCAACGAACACGATGGTGCTGGAGG